AGCAGGTGCTTGGGCTGCCCCGCATGCATGCCTGTGAGGACGTACTGCCCGGGATTGGTGACGCTGTCGCGCACCAGGAAGTCCCCGTCGGCTCGAAGCAGCTTCTCTGCGGCCCTTCGGCTCATCTGGCCGTGGTACCAGGGCTCCTGCCGCAGCTGCTCCTCCGTGGGGGCGATGGGGGCCCGGCGGGTGGGGGGGCTGGGCCACTGATCCTCCAGGGGAACGGGCGCTACCGCCGCCCCCGCCCCCGCAGAGCACTCGTGCAGCTTCAGAGCGTCCTCGAAGGGTCCTGGAGGCGAAGATGAAGTGCAGGAGGCGGGGTTGGCAGCTGCCTCCTGCTGGAAAGCGGAGGGGGGTGGCCTGGGCTGGGAGGAAAAAGCTCCAGGTGGTTACCCCCCCACCCAGGACCTGAGCAACATTGAGCACCTAGGGTGCCCCAGACCTTGCCCTAAGGTCACAGTATGTCACTGGCCGTGCGCTGAGTGGGTGTGTGTGTGCTCTGTGTGGTGCCAACCTGGTCACCAGTCACCTTCCTGCCCCTCTAATGGGTTCTATTAGTTATGCAGTATATTTTCACGGATTTGGTTAAATCTATGCAAATGAGGTCAGCGTTTCTTCCTCTCCAATGTTTATGCCTGTTTCACTAATTGCCTGGTGACATCGCCAGCCCCTCTAATACGACACTGCATCTCGGTGGCAGGCGGCAGGCATCCCTTTCTCTTACAGACAAGCTTCTCACAGAAAAGCTTCCTATGATCTGCAGGGGTTTTCTGAGGCTTCCAGCAAGCACCAGTGTGACACTGGACAAGCCACTCGCCCTCTCTGAGCCTGTCTCCTCACTGTAAAGTTGGATGTGGAGCTGTGGAGCAGTATAGATCAGACACCCTGGAAGGCAGAATCCCAGCGCTGACCCCCGCACTCCCACATGCCTTCCACTTTCTCGCCCTTGGGAATCCCTCCTCCCTGACTCCTTCCATGGTCTGGGGGCAGCCAACCCAGCCTCCAGCCACCAGGACGTGTGACCACACAAATCAGAGACAGACCCAGAATTTTCAATGGAAGCCTGGCCAGAGCTGCTGGGCCGCCTGATCACCCCGGGGGGACCACCGGCCTCAGAAGCCCCCACACTGGAGCAGCTCCTTTCCCAGGTGAGGACTGCTGTGGGGAGGCAGCGGGGGCCACGCCTTTGGTCTGGCAACTGCTACACAGTGGGCACTATCAGCCCATGTCCTATTGCGATAAGAAATCCAGTTAGGGGGCCTGGGTGACGGCATGGAACCTGCTTAGGATTCTCTGCCTCCCCCTCTCTCTGCCCCCCGCTCACATGCACACTCTCCAGTTGTCAGATGGTAGGGAAGGGGGCTTGGCAGACTTTGTGAAGGAAGAAATTTCCAGCCGGCTTCCTGGGGCTCTCCCACTAGGGAGGCGTCCCGAGGAAGGGAGATGACCATGCCTGTGGATGACCACGACACTGGCGTGGTTGCAGATAATGACGCTGTTTGGATCGCAAACTTCCCCCGTTAGACTGACCACCCCCTCAGGCTGGGGCATCACAGAGGGAAGAAAGGAATCAAGTGTTCACTCCATCAGTATGTGGTTCGGCCTCCCTCATTAGACTGGGGTCCCCTCGAGGTTGCCTCCCCCACCAGGCTGGGATTCCCAGTGGAAGGGGCTTGGGCCTACTGCCTTGAGCCACAGAGTCACCTGAGGAGGGAGCTAAAATCCCCTTGTCAGACTGGGAGACCCAGAGGTAAGGAGCTACCCCCGCCCCCAAGAGACTAAGGAGTATCATGGAGAACAGGGGCCTGAGCCTCCCCCACCATACTAGCCACTCTTGAACTAGGCATGAACTAGGCCCCTCCCCTCAGACTAGGGACCCCTATAGAGAGGAGGCTGGCTTACTCCCAACAGACTGAAGAGCCCCGGGGAGGGGGGTGGGGGGAGGCCACCAGAGCCTCCCCTATCACACTAGGGAGTCCTGTAGGAAACACTTCCCACCCCACCCTCACCACTTTGCAAAGTCCCAACTGGAGAGGGCTGGGCCTCCCCCATCAGACTACAGGTTGCTAGGGGCATGGCCTCCCCCCTCAGGCTGGCCTGCCCCTACATACGCATGTCGAACAGGTCCTTCTTGGGGCTGTCCTCCGGCTGCAGGGGCTCTGGGGCATCCAGACCCTGTGTGTTGACGTACAGGTGGTCCTCATAGTCTCTGGGGCCCCGTGCATCAGCCTGCACGTAGCCATCCCCTGGTGGGCCTGGGGAGGGTAGGAGGAGTGGAGGGGGCAGCTGGGGGAGCAGCGGACCCCACCTGGGAGCCCCGCCCAAGCCCGCCTCCCTGCCGGATGGAAACTTCACACCCTCTTGCAGAGCCATCTGGAGTGAAAACCCATAAATGTCCAACCAGGGGCTGTGGGGCACTAGAGGGCCACTCTCGGGGAGGGGCCACTGCGACTAGGCAGGACGATGGCAGAAACCCCCATGTTTCTGTTAAATGTCCCCATCTAAAAATTACTAACAACGAGCTGTCCCCCCTGTAATTATGCTATCCACATGACACATAGGTCATGTGTTTCTGTTTCTGTCCTATTGTAGGATTTCCTTTCTTTTCAAGCTTAATTGTAAGTGTGTAACGCATTTGCATGGTTCAAAAGCCACAACCACAGTAAAAATTGTCCTTGGAGGGATTTCTCACTTGGGTCCACTCAGTGCCCCATTCAGATTCTGCTGGATCCTGACCACTTTGCCTCTGCCCTGTTCCCCTGCCCTCACCCCTCCCAGGGTGTTGGGTTTTTGCTGGTCTGACAGGTTCCCAGGTAAATGGCGTCTGGGGGACCTTACTTTTCCCATTTCTCTTATTTTGAGCAAGGCTGAGCTTTTCCCAGGTTCAAAGGGCATTTGTGCGTATTTTTCTCAGAACTGTCTCTTCATTTCCAGACGTCACCACTTTTAATCCTTGGCAGAGAAATAATGATTTTGGCACACTGCGTGGCCAAATCCAGCCCAAGGGCCCTACTGTTTGCAATCCCCATGGTACGCCAACTGCATCCTTAACCTCATGGGCATTGGGCTCACAGGCCAGCTCCACCTGCCCTCTGTGGACAGGGGAAAGTTCGCCACCCTCTCCGTGCCTAACTCTCTTCCTCTGTAAACTAGGGAGAATAGGAGTCTCCTTCATAAGCGGGGTGAGGACCAAAACCGTAGAACAGCGTCTGGCAAACAGATATGATTCAATATGAGTGCTGACCATGTGCCAGGCCTGGATGGCTGATGGGGGCAGAGGGGTTTCAGTGCAGGCTTCCCGGTCTGCCTGGAGGAGGCATGGATTCTCCCAGCCTTTCATGGCCAGGGCCAGGGAAGAGGGAAGAAACTCAGGTTGTAGAATCCGGACAGAGAGAATCCCCAGACACAGGAGCTGGGGCATCGATGTATTGGAAGGAGTTCTTGGCTAGAGAATTAAGAAAGGTATAAAAAGAAGCCTTAACAGTGTGTGCAAAGGCTCAGGGCTGGGAAGTGCCTATGAGCCCTGGAAGTCATGGGTGAGCAGCCCATGTCCCAGACAAACAGCACACAAGGGCCACGTTATAGCTTGACACCTGGTGCTTTAACCACTGGGTGCTGGCAGTCGACGAGGGTTCTGATGCTTGGCAGCGAAGTGCCCAGATTATCTGGGAAGATCTAAAAAAAAAAAAAAAAAGCCCAGCACAGATGTTAGGCTGTGAGGGGACAGGCGACTACAGCAGGCTGGTGGGCGAACCGACGGGCACCCTCGCTTCGGAGAGCAGCTTAGCGGCCTCCAGTAACGTGACTAACAGGCTCTGACGTCAGCAGCCTCACGGCTCGGCACCCACAGGAGAAACACGGGGCTGCACACCGTGTGTGTGGGGGGGACCCTCGGTGCCCACCAGTAGGGGCTACGTAGGCACGCAAGCTCCAGGAGGCTGACACTGCAGAACCTCAAAGCGACCAAGACGCCCACAGCACGCCTGGAGAGTCACCATGTCTGCGGGTGCCTGTTCTTACCGAGCCCGAAAGGAGACACAGAGGAGCCGGGGGGCTGAGCGCCCCGACGGGGAGCGGAGGGCCAAGGGGGCGCCAGCCTTACGTCACTTCTCATTCTGTGTAACAGGGCAAAGTGCTCGTGGGCCGAACACCCAGTCGATTCGTGAAAGCCAAAGCCCGAAGTGCCGGGTGGTGGGGACACGCGTGATTTTCATCACGAGAGAACAAGGAGCCGCCCTCGGGGGACCGGACCGTGTGGAGACCAGAACCAGCGGAATGGCGAACATCCGTGGCCCTTCGTCACACCGCAGACGCCTCAGCAAGCACCTGGAGTCTACCCAAGTGTCCGTGAGTCGAGTGCAGGCGAGATAAAAGAGACCCTCTGCGCGGGGGGGTCGCGGGCAGCGCGAACAAGAACGGGCACGGGGCGCGTGCTGACGCGGAAGGGACTTCGGGGTGGATTGCTACGTGGGAAAAGCTAGGCGGGAGCGAAGACATAGTGCATGGATTGGGATGCGCTTGAACGTCCGCGGAAAATACTGGAAAAATAACGGAGACTGCTACTGACAGTGGTGGCCTGACTGGGGAGGTGGATAGGCAGACGGGGCCAGGGGGACACCATGACTTCTCACTGAAGGCCTTTCTGTGCTCTGGCATTTTGAACCACGTGAATGCTGTGTCCCTCCCAAAACGCAATGAACCTAGTCTGTACAGAAGAAAGACAAACCAACTAAGAGCGTGGGGGGCGCACAACATCTCGCGGGTGAAAGTGAAGTGGGGCAGAGGAGAGGCACTGGGGGGGGGGGGGCCTCCCTGAGCCTCCAGGGCATCTACTGTTACCTGAGGGGCCCAGGTCCCACGGCAGACTGCGGGTGTCCCTTCGAGCAGGCGATACGCCCTGAAAAAGAGAGTGAGGGGTCCTTCTGCCACGTGCAAGCCCCTTCCCAGCCCAGCACCCCGCCCTCCCGGAGGGCTGGACCTTCCCAGCCCAACACCCCACCATCCAACACCCTGCCCTCCTGCACGGCTGGAGACCTAAGTCAGATGCTGAGAGGGAAGCTCTGCACCCTGCCAACCCTGCCCCCAGGCCCTGGCTGCTGCATGCTGTTCCCTTCACCTAGACGCCCTTCCCTGCACTGCTCTCCCGGGCAACTCCTATTCACCCGTCAGGGCCCAGCCCAAACACTGCTTCCTTGTGGAAGTCCTCCGACCACAAAGTCAGTCTCCCGGTTGCACATTCTCATCACCTCCCCTGGAAACCCGTCTCGTCTCGGGGCCCTGATTAAACTGCCAATAGAATTCTCTGATCAGTGTCTGAGGGTGGGAGTCACATCTGGAGTAGGGCCAGACCCGTCTGTGCAAGCTGGGGCAGGAAGGAGGGCAAGGAGGGGCAGGGAAGCATGAGATACCCTCCCCCAGGGTCAAGGAGAAGGGGAGCAGAAGGAGAAGCCAGGGTCAGGCCCAAGGAGCCAGTGCCTAGAGATGACCTCCCACCAGCCCTCCCCCACGAGGGCCACAGAGGCTGACCTGGCCGAGGGCGCCGACGGCACAGGGCTGAGTTAGGGCGAGCCTGGAGTCCACCAGCCCACCCAGGGGCGGCTCCTTCCCTGGGATGCTGTTGTAGTAATTGTGTTCCGTTTCCTCCTCGTCCCCCCAGGCCGACTCCTCGGGCCTGGTCAGCCTGGGGACACACAGCAAGAAGGAGCACAGGCAGGGACCTCAGGTCTCAGGGGCAGAGAGAGAGGGAGCTCCTGCCAGGACGCCAAAGCTGCGTGGCTGGAGCTTTGCTCGGTGGGCGGGGCTGAGCCCCTTCCTGCTCTGGGCCAGTGCGCTTTCCTCCTCTGTAAGGTGGGACCTCACACTCTTTCCAGTGCCTTCTAGAAACTGCAGCTGGTCTCCACTCCCTTGCGCCCACCTCTGCCCACCCCACCCCCACCAGGCAGCACACACAGGGTGCCGGTCTGGCACACAGAGCCGGTGCCGCGGGGCCAGGATGGGAGTGCCCTCGGCACCATCTGGCCCTGCAAGGGCCCCTGTAGAAATCGATCAGGCGACTGCGGTTCCTGACAGCCAGACGGGGGAGGCTGTTATCAGTGTTTATCAGGCACGAGGGTGCAGGCAGCAGAGGAGGGCCCCGAGAGCGGACACGACGGACACGTGAGCCCGTGTGGCGCAGGCATGCGGGTGAGGGGCTGAACGGAGGAGAAGCGCACGGCAGCATGTACTCCTGCGGACGCTCCCTATTCCTTAACGTGAGCACGTTTGTATGTCTAACACGTTCACCCGTCCGTCATTTAGTCTGGCAAGTTTCCACCCAGGGAGCTACTAAGTAGCTAAAAGCAGGGCTCAGCAAGTCTGGCCCCCGCCTGCATGCGCGCAGCGCCTGCATGCGCGCAGCCTAGGAGCTAAGAATGCTTTCTACTCTTTTAAACCACAAAACTTTTAAGCGATTAGGAGAACATCCAAAGAACAATATTTGGTGACACGTGAAAATTACACGAAATTCCGAATTTAGCGCCTATAAATACAGTTTTGCTGGCAGGCAGCCCATTGATCTTTTCACGTATGGTCCCCAGCCGCTCTTGCTACAATGGCCGAGGCAGGCGTTCTGGCCCAGGAAGCTGAACACACTGACTGGCCCTTTTGCAGAAGCGTTGGCCACACCCGTCCAGGCTGGTGATGACCACACCCGCTGACTGGCTCCCCTAATCCTCGCCTCAGCCCAGGCGCGGGCTGTTTTCACCCGGGTTTTATAGAGGAGGGTGTGGCGACCGGGCAGTGGAGCCGCGTGCCCACTGGGAGCAGAGAGGGAAGGAGGGACAAGGCGAAGGCCCACACCCGGGGTGGAGATGGTGAGCGCAGGGACTGTGCATCTGGCCTTGGTCAGGTGGCACGATGTCTCTGGGAAGATGTGGAGGACGTGGCCTGGTACCTTTCCGGGGGCAGGACCACCCTGGGGGGGCTGTGCAGGTACTGTTTGAAGCGCAGCTCGAAGGCTTGGCCCACGGTGCTGATGATGCTCTGGGCGAGGCCCTCACAGCACTCCAGGATGTGGCAGGCTGCAGAGGGTCACGGTCACGTAGCATCAGCGTAGCCTCGGCCCACTGGCACAGCAGCCCACAGGGCCCCCGCCCGCCCCCACTGGGACCTCACCTCTCTGGTTGATGGGATCCTTGGCTACGTAGGCCACATAATCAGTCATGTCCTGGGGGAGAGAGAGGACAAGTGGGAGGGCTGGACCTGCCAGGGCCACCCCGGCCTGGTAAGGGGGCAGGGGTGGATGGGCATGGGGCCGTAGGGCACAGACAGGACCAGAAGTCTACCCCCCCAGTCCCTGGCCTTACCGTGTCACCTCCCGACGCAAAGGAGATAGACTGCATGTGGTGGTTGGCAATGACCTGGCGGGAGAGAGACACAGTCATGGGGGGCCACAGTCCTGGGGCCGGGGAAGGGGGCAGGCTCACCAGGCCAGGGCCACAGAGAAGCGACCAGGAAAGGGCTGGAGTCAGAATGGGTACCAGGGTGACCAGGAGAGCAGCTGGATGGGGAACGCCCACCACCCTCACACGTGCATACTTCTGACACCCAGACACAGACGCACGGACATGCCCGCGGACGTGCACAGACACACGGACAGCCCACAGATGTGCACAGACGCACAGAAATGCCTGCAGCTGTGCACAGACACGGACACGCCCGTAGACGTGCACAGACACACGGACACGCCCTCCTACACACAGATGCTCACACATGCAGTCACACACACTCAAGCCCATCTTTGCGCCCTCACGCCTGGTGCTCTGGCCCGCGTGTCCACCCAGACACACACCGCGGACGGCGCACTAATCTGGCACAGCCAATGCAGCCATGGAGGCTTGAAGGAGACACAGGAGGGAAGAGCCGGAGGCTCTGTTCTGGCACCAGCGCCCGGGCATCATCATCTGTGTGCTCATTTGCGTGCTCATTTGCACGCTCATTTGCATTTGCTTGCTCATTTGCATGCTTGTTTTTGGTGCACACTTGCAGGCCTGTTTCCGTGTTCATTCGCGTGCTCATTTGCATCCATTTGCCACCTCCCATTGCTGTCCTCGGTGCTCATGTTCCTTCAGGGCCCAGGGAGCAGTGGCCGCCTCACCAGGTGCTCCACAGATGCCCTGCTTGGGCTCCCTCCGCGGTGCCCCCACATCACTGCTCTTCCCAGGCTCACAGTGCTGTCTGGACAAGTCCTAACTCCCCACCACGAACCTCACTGACCTCTCCAGCTCTGTCTCCCCACAGGGTGACCTATGCCTGGGACATCTCTCCTCACCTCCTCCCTTGGAGCCAGCATCACCGCCTCCAGGAAGCCCTTCGTGACACCCCTGCTAGGTTACAGTGCCCTGTGCACACCTACAGCACCCCTTGCCTGGCCTCACAATGCTTTTTAGAATTTGTAATTATTCCCTTATCTGTGCAATATTATTTTGCTGAATTGTTTCCACTAGAAGATTCCTGGCCAGGGCTCTCACCCTCAGCACTGCTGACAATGGGGTGGGGTCCATCTCGGCGGGGGTGTCCTGGGCACTGTGGGGGTCCAGCAGCCTCCCTGCACCCCACCCCTGCACTCGTGCCAACTGTGAGTGCCATGAGGGCAGCTCGGCTCCTGGCTCAGGCGGGGCCTCAGCACATCTCCAGGTGAACACGTTCACACACAGCCCCACACCTGCCATCTCTCCAGCTTTGCCCACGGGACCCTGGACCTGCCCTGCACGGGGGGCTGCTGGGGGCTGAGGACACGGGTGGCGGCACTCACCTGGCGCGTGGCAGGCACGGACAGGTTGAGGCCGTCGGTGGAGATGCTCACAGCGATGCTCATGCCAGCGAAGCGCAGGTTGGTCTTGCCCAGGATGGAGGCTAGCGCCTTGTTCGGGGCCTGGGGACAGGGCAGAGGGCAGTGCTGGGCCTGCAGAGTGGGGAGCCCAGGCACTGGGAAAGGTGGGGCAGCAGAGGGGCTCCAGCTGGGGCAAGATCCAGGAAGGCCACGGCGCCCCCAGCCCCGCTCCAACCACACCCACCAGGACCACAAGCCCGTCACCCACCTTCTTCTTCCAGGAGCCCCGGATGCCAGGCACTGCCTCATGGAGCCGGTTGATGGCTTCCCTGTGTGGGGGGTTGTAGGAGGAGGCTTAGTGAACTCAGAGGGGGGCTTGGGGAGGGGGTAGGAGCTCAGGGAGTGTGGGGGGCAGAAGCCATGGGCAGAGAAAGTACTTGGATCCTGAGCTGGGAAGGGGCTCACAGGAGGGAGGGAAGCGGGTACCTGGAGAGAGGAGGGAGGAACAGAGCCATGGACCGGGGGCTCTCAGCCCCCAACCCGTTTGTACCTGGCAGATACCCATGCACATACCGACCTCAGCTCTTGCCCTCTGGGGCTTCCTTCTCAGTGATTCACACATCCCTGGGCCATGGCCCAACTCCAAACCACAGGGGTGAGATTCAGGGGAGCCAACGACATAGGGCCTCAGCCTGGACCCCAAGTGTCATGCGGCCACAGGCCAGCCAAGATCCCCAGCTGTGGCATGAGAGCGTGACCTCTGCTCTGGGCTCGCCAGACTAAGAGACAGACCTCTGTGAAACCGCTAGCCCCGGGGAGGACTGGGACTTCACGGGCCCTGAAGGTCAGAGGGACCGTGCTGGGCCCCAAGTGGCCGGGGCCCTCACACCTGGCAGGCGCGAAGGCGAAAAGGCGCGGCGGGAAAGGTCTTGCTGCTCAAACAGCGAGATGTGGAGACACCACACAGCCCGACACCCCACCTTCCATCCCAGGAGACATGAAAACACACGTGCACACAAAACCTGTGCACGCGTGTTCACAGCAGCACGAGTCACAACAATCACCAAAAGGTCGAAGCCACCCAAGTGTCCATTGACAGGTTGACAGACAATGCGTCCACCGTGCAGGCAAAGGTCCACAGAGGAACGTGTCCATCGCGCACGCGCACATCACGCAGGTGTGTCCACCGCGCATGCGCACATCCACAGACAAACGTGACCACCGCGCACGCACGTGTCACTCAGGTACATCCACCGCGCACGCGCACGTCCACAGATGAACGTGTCCACCCCGCACGCGGACACCCCTCCACCGCGCACGCGCACATCACTCAGCCGGGAGCAGGCGTGAGAGGCACCCGCACCCGCCGCCCCGCGGGCAGACCCTGGACACACGACGCCCAGGGAAGGAACCAGACACGAGAGGCCACAGGGGGTGTGAGTCCGCGTCTGGGAAACGTCCAGAACAGGCACACCTCTGTGAAGAAACCAAAACACATCGCGTTGTGGACTTTAAGTGCGTGAATTGTTTGATGTGTGAATTACAACTCAGTAGAGTGTTTTTATGTCTACAGTGAATGGCCTGTTTTCACATGCAGAAAGACATCGATCCTGGGACGCCTGGGTGGCCGGGCTCAGGTCATGATCTCACAGGGGTCCATGCGTTCGAGCCCCGCGTGGGGCTCCGTGCTGACAGCTGGCAGCCCTGCCCCTCCCCCACTCATGCTCTGTCTCTCTCTCTCTCTCTCTCTCTCTCTCTCAAAATAAATAAATAAATAAATAAATAAAACATTAAAAAACAAAATGGACGTGGATCCCTAAGCCTCTTCATGACTCATTCCTGGCAGCTCAGAGCATCACGAGATCGATGTGCTTTGCACCAAAAAAAGCAGGGACAACGGAGGTGCCACCCAGAACCAGCTCCTAGCCCCTTCCAGGCCTGACCTGAGTCCTAGCCGGACACCAGCCAGCACCCGCGGGTCCAGCACGCCTGTGGAATTCGCACACGGCAAGGCGCCAGGTGTCATATCTATTAGAATCCGGGGTCTGGGGAGCAGAGACAACTGGACGGCAGGACAGAGCTGGAACTCAGCTTATGCCCCGCCACAAGGCCATTCTCAGTCCCGCCACACTGTTCTCCAAGCTGTGAGGCAGGAGGGAATGTCACTGCGCAGACTGTCTGAGCGGCTACTGCCACCTCTCCAAAGCCTCACGTCAGCCCTCCCTCCGCTGCCCCGAGGCCCTGGCCCCACAGCAGCCGGTCTCAAAGGCTTACCTGGTCACCTGGGTGCGAGTGTTAAAATCCAGAGAGCGCATGGAGCGGAGGACTTCGATGCAGCCCATGTACTAAGAGAAGAGAGAAGAAGCAATTAGCAGGCAGGCCCTAAGCACGAGCCCAGCACAGCCTGGGTCAGGTGACAAGTGAATCCAAGCCCTCCCTGCAGCGAGCTCTTCACCCTCATCCCCAGCCCCGTCCTCAGCAATGTCCAGCTTTGCTGCCTCAGGGCCTTTGCACCTGCTGTGCCCCTGCTGCTCCCTTTCCCCATCTTCGTGTGCACTGGTTCCTTCCCCATCTCCAGGCTCAGTGTCACCTCCTCAGAGAGAACCCCCTTCCCTGATGCTAAGCAAGTTGTTCCACGGAAGCTGGTTGACCCCCAGGCTCAGTCTCGCTTTGGCTTAACCATCAGCTGCTTGTTCTCCCTTCCTGTTGCATTAGAGTGTGAGCCCAGGAAGACCAGGATGGTGATGCTCCTGTCACTACTGTAGCCCCAGAACCCAGCACAGGGCCTGCAAGCAGACTGGGAGGAAACCATCTGGCCTGTGAAACCCAGCGCATTGACCATCTGGCCCTTTACAGGGAAAGTTTGCTAACTCCTGCCTAGGCCACCATGTCCACTGAAAGGTAGTTCAGAACCTCCAAGAGACAATGCAGAGGGACAGAGGAGTTAGAAACAGTCAGCAGAGCTCCCAGGGAGGGGGAGCGGGGACCAGACTAGGGCCACAAGCCTCTTTCCAGCTAGTGCCTGTGTGCTGGGGGGCATCTGGCACAGCATCTCGAGGGCCACATGGCAGCAGCACCTGTCCTGTGATTCCCTGTCTGTGCAACGTCCAGACAAGTAAATCCACAGACACAGAGAGGGTTGGCAGGTGCCAGCAGTTAGGGGAGGGGAGGGGATGATGGCTAATGAGGACAGGTTTCTTCTAGGGTGACGGAATGTCCTGGAACCAGATAATGGTGATGGTTGCACCACCTTGCGAATGTACTAAATACTATTACGCTTTGTACGCTTTAAAATGGTTAATGGTCGGGGTGCCTGGGTGGCTCAGTCAGTTAAGCGTCCGACTTCAGCTCAGGCCATGATCTCGCGGTTTGTGAGTTCGAGCCCCATGACGGGCTCTGTGCTGAAGGCTCAGAGTCCGGAGCCTGCTTCAGATTCTGTGTCTTCCTCTCTCTCTGCCCCTCCCCCACTTGTACTCTCCCTCTCAGAAATAAACATTAAAAATTGTTTAAATAAAATAAAATGTTAATTTTGTCAACTTTACCTCAATTTTTTAAAAATCATAGATGCCCATACATTTTGACCTTGAAACTCCATTTTTAGGACTTTAGCCCACACATACATCAGCCCAGGGACTGCCACTGTGTTCACAAGTCACTGTGTGGGGTGGCCCATGCTCTGCCCGCTCCACGGGGCTCCGAGCACAGGACTACAGGGAGACAGGTGGACAGGTGCTTGGTGCCCCCATGGATCCGCGCTTACCCACTCCCTTTGCCCTTGGGCCCCCCCTGGTGCTGGCACCAGGGGCTGGCTCCCTACACCTGGCCCTCTTCTGTGTCTCCTGCCTCAGTCTCCCCTCAGGGAGAGCTTTTGCACACGCACCCCCTTGCTGCTGGACCTGTAGAACTGAACAAATCAGCAAGAAATTAGAGACACCCTAAAACAACACATTTGGGCTTGTGCGATCCAATACATGACTGCAGGCCAACTGGAATTCCCACTAAACAATGAATATTTCTTAGTGTAAGTATGCCCCAAATAGTGCAGGGGACATACTTACGCCAAAAATTATTGGTATTCGTTGGAACTTTAAATTTAACTGGGGGCCCTGTATGCTTGCTAAATCTAAACAAATCGTTCTTGAAATGGAAGAGTATGCATTTGTAAAAAGAGACAAGAATTGTTTACTTACAAGAAATTATCTCCAAGGTATATTATTTTTTTTTTAATTTTTTTTTCCAACGTTTATTTATTTTTAGGACAGAGAGAGACAGAGCATGAACAGGGGAGGGGCAGAGAGAGAGGGAGACACAGAATCGGAAACAGGCTCCAGGCTCTGAGCCATCAGCCCAAGGCCTGACGCGGGGCTCGAACTCCCGGACCGCGAGATCGTGACCTGGCTGAAGTCGGACGCTTAACCGACTGCGCCACCCAGGCGCCCCTCTCCAAGGTATATTATTAAACAGCAGGAACAAGGTGCAGAATAGAGGTCATGGTGAGCCACGATTCCCTCGGACAAGGGGTCAAGGGGGAAGATGTGCACACATGTGAGTATACACAGTGCGAGTAGATGAGTAATTCTAGCAGATTCTAGCATGGTAAAGTGGTTGTTTCCAGGGGAGAAACGCATGCTGTTGGCAGACTGAAACTATGCTCACAAGACGTCCCTCACCCCATTCCCTCCTCCCCTCCCCGTCCCTACCCACCCCCATCCCTCCCTCTGTCCCTCCCCCTATCCAGGCCCTTGTATGTCAGGAAAGATGACACAGGTCACGAATGGCATGTCAGGAAAGGTGACGCAGCCAAGGCCTAAAACGCCCTTGTGCCCTGGAGCTTGTCCCCTCACTAGTCCCAGGTCCCTGAGACCCTGCTAGGCCAGCCTGCTCTGTGAGAACAGACACGTCCCCATCCCTATCATCCCAGCTGACACTGGCCAGCTGCCATGGGAATGAAGAGATCGGCTCAAGCTGACCCACAAAACCACAAAAAAATAACGTTTGTTGTCCTGCACTAGACTGTGGGATGATTTGCTACACAGCGACTGCTACCTGAGGTAGTGACCAGAAGACAAGGGGCAAGGCAAGCAAAGACCCAGGCAAAGGGAATGGCCACTACAAGGCCCACGCGTGAGAACAAGTTTGAAGAGGCTGCAGGCTCACTCCAGTGTAGCTAGAGCAGAGCACAAAGAGCTAAGAAGGATAGCAGGATCTGGGCAAGAAGGCTGCAGAGCCCTGGGGCTATGCTGAAGGTCTGGGTTTCATGCTGGGCAAGCTGGGGAGGCATGGGAGAGTTTTAAGTAGGGAAGTGAACAGATCTGTTTCACCTTCTCTTGGGTGGATGGATGGATGGATGGATGGATGGTGGATGGATGCATGAAAGGGTGACGGATGGACAGATGGATGGATGAGTGAACAAATGGATAATGGATGGGTGGAAGGGAAGATGGCCGGCTGGCTGGCTGGCTGGCTGGCTGGCTGATGGATGGATGGATGAACAGGTAGACCGATGGACGGATGGACAGATGGACAGATGGATGGGCACGGCCTATATGCCAGGCATGTGTTACACACAGGGGACCTCAAAGGGAATTTGCTGTGGTTGCTGCTCCGAGGAGTGGATCTGCACACTGAGAGGACAGCTTTGGTGGGTTTCGGTGTTCTAGGCCCAGGTTCTGATTCCCATACCACCTAATTCCCTAGACTCACCTAATTCATGCCAGCCCTCCCTAGCTGTGAGGCTGAAGTCCTCCAGTGTGCCCCCGGCCCTTCCTTAGATGAAGGGAAGGGGGAGCTCACACAAGAGGGGATACAAAGGGGCCACCCTGGGACAGATCCCTACAGGGCCAGGCGGGCGAGGCCAGCAGAGAGGTGAGCCCCCCCACACTGATGGATCACAACCCACTTATCACACAAGCATGCTGCACACATTACTTCTCTTAATGACAGCACTCACGTCCCCGTGCTGGAATGACCCCTGTTAGGTGGAATGGCCACTCTCAGGAAACAGAGGCCCAATGAGGCTCAGTAAAAGTCATAAGCTGGTAGGTGCAGATGCGGGGTTTGAACCCATGCCCTTAGGCTCTGGAGTCTCCCCACTGCACAACAGGAAGGAGTGGGGACTGGGCTAAACTGCATATTCCATAGCCAGAGGGCCCAGTGCTGCCAGACACCTGAGTCTTCTTTAAAGAGACAAGAAATCCAAGACTTTGGAGCCTGCTTCAGATTCTGTGTCTCCCTCTCTCTCTGCCCCTGCCCCACTCGTCCTGTGTCCCCTTCTCTCAAAAAATAAATACACATTAAAACAAACATAAAGACAAGGCCGTGGGAGAAGATCCGAGGTCAAATTCAGCCTTGGGTCTGCCAGCGAGTGTGACCTCTGTTCTAGAAGCCCAAACTCACCGAACGTCAGCCGTGGTGTGTTGGAGGCTGGCCCCCTGAAGGTGGACACACGTGCTCACCCCCGGAGCCTGTGGATGGGATGGGCCCCAAATCCAAGACAAGTGTCCCAGTAAGACACAGGCAGAGGGAGGTGTGTGAGGCTGGAGGTGGAGTGTGGAGAATTTGAGAGGCCGGCACCTCCAGAATCCGGGAGAGCCGGGACAGGTGCTTCCCTCCGGGCCTCAGAAGCAACCAGCCTGCCCGGCTGGGTCTCAGACCCCGAGCCCCGGGACCAGGAGAGAACACTCTTGTGTTTTAAGCTGCCTCGTTTGTGCTAATGTGTTGCAGCCGCCCCAGGACACTAACACGGAAGGTCAGGACACCCCTGAATGGCCCTGCGTCCCACCTGCTCCTGTGCACGTGCAAAACCAGGGCAGCCCAGAGCCCACCCCAGGACGCCACAGGGAAGGGGTGATTTACCAGTGGGGGAACTGAGGCCCAGAAGGGGACGGGGCCAAGCTCCCACCGCCCTCATCTACCTCCTCAAGTCGTGCCACACGGCACATACTATTGTTCGCTTAACATTTCATTTTAAATAAATTCCAATTATAAACATAACTGGGTTTTTCAAGGAAATGGCAGGAAATGACTCAAATTTTCATCAATGGATGAACAAATCGATACGACGCGTCCCCCGAGCACACAAACGTCCCTCGGCCACGAGCAGGAGTGAGGCGCCCGCCCCCGCCGCCCCGCGGACGGACCCGAACACGCGACGCTCAGGGAGGGAACCCGACAGGAGAGGCCACACGGGGTGTGAGTCCGCGTGTGTGAAACGTCCAGAACAGGCTCATCCACGGACGGGAGGGGGGCTCGTGGGGGCCGGGGGAGGGGAAGGGGAGTGAGGGTGAATGCTAATGGGGACAGGGCTTCCTTTCAGGGTGAGGAATGTCCTAGGATTAGATCATGGTGAGGGTTTCACAACTGTATAAATGTACTAAAAATCTGAACTGTACAATTTAAGCTGGCACATTTTATGGTACTGAATTATATCTTTTTTTTTTTTTTTTAGCTTATATGAGGAAGAGAGGAGACCGCCTTCTGCACCATCAGACTCCGGTTTGATGCGCAACAGTGTTTTCCTAACGGCCACTGAAGTAAACATCATTA